GAGGGAGTGAGCTGAGTCCCCAGAAGGCCCTCAGAGCCCCTTGAACCAATCAGAATAAGGGTAAAAGACAGAACTGACTTAAGAACAATGAAAGGGGAAAGCCCGGCTGTAATCCCCCATCCTTAGTAGATTCAGGAAGATCACAAATTCAAGGTCAATTAAAGCGCCTGCAAGCAGGAGCAGGGGCGGGGTGGGGGGTGGAGGGTTCGATTCCCAGGCCTGCCGAGCCGGAGACTGGTTGTGGTAGCACATGCCTGTAATCCCAGCTCTTAGGAGGCTGTAAACAGGAGAATCACTACAAGTTCCATCTAGTAGTGAGACCATGGACACCCTGTAGACCCTTCCCTAAAATACAGAAAAGAAAAAAAAAAAAAAAAAATCAAAGCCAAACTAGGCAGCTTGGCCAGGCCTTGTCCCAAAATAAAGGCCCAGGGACATACCTACCCACACGCCAGCTGCCCCAGTCCTCACTGTGGGGGCGCGGTCGGGGGCTGTGGAATCTGCCTGGTGTTGGCAGAGGCCTGGGAGCCAGGCAGGAGCAGGGCAGGACTGGCACTCGCTTGGGCCGCAGACTGACTTGGCATCAACCCCGGATCAGCCCGACGCTCTCTGCGTGGTCTCCCGTGGGTTTCCTGAGCCTCAGATTCCACATTTGTGAAATGGAATTACAAGCACCTGCCTCCCGAGGTCGCCATGGCAATCCAGTGAGCTAATGCACGCGCACAGTGCCCGCACCCAGGTCTGGAGCAGCGCGGGAGACCCATCCCCAGGGTGGGCTGCGAGCCCCTGGGTGAAGGTGGTGCCATAAGATTTGCTCATGTTGGAAGGCATGGCCAGCTTGACTTTTTGGAACTTTCAGTTTGGGTGATGGAACTTCCCTGGGCAGCCTTAAGGAAGGCAGTGCTTTACAGAAACTTCCTAATGGAGGGCAGTGTGTTGCTGAGAGTTAACAAGCCAATGGCTCCACAGGCCCAGGCTGGGGGCAAGATGGACAGGGCTGTCCCTGAGGGTTAGGGACTCCAGAGCCCATGCCCTAGCAGTGACTCAGGAGCCCGCAGCTTGGGCAGCCCCAGGCCCTGCCCTTGGTAAAGGACAACTCTGTTCACTGACGTCAGGTATTAGCACAGATGATGGTCAAATGTTTTAAAAGTTATTTTAATTTTAATTTAATTTTATTTTGCAGTAACAGGCATTGAACTCAGGACCTTGCACTTGCCAGGTAAGCACTTATTCCACTGAGCTATCTCTCGGCCCCTAAAAGTTATTTTTAAACAGAGCCTCTCTAAGATGCCCAAGCTGGTCTCAAATTTATGACCTTCCTGCTTCAGCCTCCTAGAGAGCTAGGCAGACAGTGATGCTGACATTTGCCAAACAACATGAGAGGCTTCTGGGATACTAGATGATGGAGTAGTCACAACGATCCTGGTTCAACTCCCGGCCTGGCCACTTGCTGCAAAGGTGGCTGATGCCTTACTTTGTTCAACGGCACATTGAAGGCAGCGTTCTGCTGCCCTGGTGCCTGGAGAGGTGGCACAGGGGAAGATGTCACAGAGAACACAGCGAGGTAGGGCCAGGCAGACCCCAGGCTCCCTCCCAGTGCTGGCTTCGCCCCTCCTTGTGAGGTTAAGTCCCACCACATGACAGGTTTGCTTGTGGAATCCAAGGCCAGGGCATCTCATACCTGCCAGGTCCTCCCGGCCACCAGCATACACCCAGGCTGACCTGTGACACTGGGTCAGGGAGGGGCTTTATCCAGGGAGACCTGGGGAGGCACAGGTATTTTTCCATACTTGAACCCCAATTGGCTGCCTCATCTCTCTGGGTCATATAGACACAGCGAGATGTGCCCATGCACACAGGCCTGCCACATCACACAGGAACAGCAAGATCACTCAGAGACTGCCATGGGTTGGCCCCAGGGCCCCTTGAATGTACTCATGCAACCAGGCCTGGGCCAGCTGTCACAGAGCAAAGGGAGAGTGGACAGCTTATTCATGAGGCCAAGCTGCCCCAAGAAATGGGAACAGTCCAGGAGTGGGTCTCTGAAGAGAATAAGAAGGCTGGAAATGGGGGAGCAGAAATCCCCAACATCCTTGGGGGGAAATAGCCTAAAAGAGCTTGAGCCATTTAACCACTCAGCGCCTGCCTGGGCCAAGTGCCAGCCTGGTGGAGTGACCTCCTGCTTGGTGGCCTAGATGGCTGGGAACACACAGTGGCCACAGAGGGACGCCCTAGGCAGAGG